CTATCAAATGCAACTAAGCAAATGATATGAATCAATAAAATATAATTTGAGAAGTAAGTATGTTAATTTGTTTAAATTAATTAAATTAAAAATATTTCCCTAGATCAGTGTCATCCAATTGGGATAGAATGTGAGCCAAGCCACATACCCAATTGTACACTTTCTAAACCACATTTTAAAAAGGTAAATAACTGTAATTTTAATAACATAGTTTATTTCCCCACATATATCTAAAATATTATTTCAGTGTATACAATATAAAGCTATTGGGATATTTTACGTTCTTTTTCTTTTTACTGTCTTAAAAATAGAGTGTGCAAAAAAAAATAGTGTGCATTTCCACTTAAAAACACATCTCAGTTTGGACTAGCTACCTCTGTGGTATGCTGGAACTAGCTTGCACTGGATTGCCAGAGCCTATTGTTAAATTTTCAGAGTTTCATGACCTGGTTGATTCGTAGATTAAAATTGGGCACGGTGGGAATATTCATTCCACAGATAACATCAACTGTTGTAGTTTGGTGGGGAGAGGGGGAGAGGGGTAGCTGATTGTTAAATATTCAACAATGTACCACTGTTCAATAGCCACTGTGGCTAGTACCTATCATGCTGGACAATGCATTCCTAGCTAATAAAGAAAATTATTGAATAAAATTAAGTTGGATGCTTAACTGACTGAGGCACCCAGGTACCCCTGTTAGATGTGTTTCTTAAGCATGTTTAGAAGTCTTTAGTTTGTGCTAAGTGTGGTGACAGAATGGCACTTCTCACAATAGACACCACTTGGAGAAATACCAGAAGAGAGAAGACAAAAAAAACAGTGACTTATTAGTTTTGACACCCCATAGCATAACTGCTGTCTACTCCATACATTTCCACATGGATTTGTGTTTGGGGTGGGGTTTGCTTCTTCTGGACTTAAGAATGGTCTAATTGTGAATGCTGGTATTGATGAGGAGAGGACTAGGGAAAGGAATTAACGTAAAAACATGAGCAAGTATGAACTTTCTTATAGATGTGAGTCCCAATTTTGTTTTATGAGAAAAGAGTTTATATTAAGATATTAGTTTATATATTTAAGCCTCATTAAGGATTATTAAATGTTATCTATTAAAAAGCCCATAATTCCTTCAGTTTTTAAGATTACCTACTATACTTCTAATACATTAAATTTAAGTAACTATATCTAATTTTAGTGGAGCAGGATCGTGGGGTAGGCATGCTAGAGTGTTTTATTATAAAAGTCTCTGATGTCTATAAGAAATATATACACTTCCATAAAAACAATAATAGCTTGCTTTTATTGGGTATGTAACTATATGCCAGGCACTTTAAATATTTATTTCAATTGATTTACACAATGATCCTAAGTGGTGGATATTATACAGATTCTAAAGAGTAGGAGACTAAAGCTCAGGAAAGTTAGTGGGTTCAAAGTCAGCCATTTGGTAAATGGTAGACCCAAACAATGAACTAAGGTCTTGCATATTTCAAAATCTCTGGGCTTTCCTCTATGTCAGACTAGCTTCCTTAGAGTTTCAAGTTCACTCCGTGTTTTTCTTAGTGGGGAGATGGGACTAAAGCCAGGCTGGAATTATCATGACCTTAGAAACAGTAAAGGCTCTTTTGTTCAAACGGTGAGGGGCGGTAGGGAACTGAGGCAGGTAACAAGCTCGGATATGTCTACCAGAATATAGGCTTTATTGTGTTCACTCAGCTAACAGTAGTATATATGCTAGAGCTAATGAACTACGCATACTGAATACACATAGGTAGTATGTTTGTATAGGAAAACAACAACAGAAAAAACCCTATTACACCAAAACCTTTATTCTCCAGGAATAACAATGGAAGGTGGCATTTTCTGAGGACTTGCCACAGGCCAGTCCCTGTTCTAGGTGCTTCCTTATATTGATTCATGCACTCTTCACAAGAATTGTATGAGGTGGGTACAATTAATATTTTCACTTTACAGATATGGAAAGCTGGGGCACATAAAAAATAAGACACTTTCTCATGTTAAGAATAAATAGCTGAACGGAGATGTAAACTCAAGCAAGCTGGGTCCACAGTGCAAACTCCCAGCTACCACAACATATGTCTGTCTCATTGATTAGATGGCAGACAAGTCACAGACACTTCAAACTTCAAATAATAATAAATGATGAGCGTACTGCTCTAGAGTGACTATGAAAAAGAGATGTATATAATACCATGCATCAGTTCAAAATGAACTTGCCAAATTAGAAATAAAAATTTCTAATAAAACACTGAGTTCATGGATACAGAGAAAAGATTGGTCGTTGCCTGAGGTGGAGGAGGGAGGGGAGTGAAATGAGTGAAGGGGGTGAAGGGGTAAAAATTTCCAGTTATAAAATGAATAAATCACGGGGATATAATGTACAGAAGAAAAAGAAATTACTGTGGAAGGAGAAATCACTTCCTACTCTCAAAATATGGAAGATGGAGGCTTTGGAATTTAAACAGGCCATTAAAGGAAAAGTGGGATTTGCACACACGGGGTACCTTGAAAGCATATTCTAGCTAAAGAAAACAGTATGAGCGAAGACATGGTGAATGCATCTAAGTCAATATAGGAGACTAATAATTTTGGAAATGTGCAAGTGGTTAATAGCCGTGGAAAGGTAGTAGTCTGTCTCCTGTGTAGTGGGGAATTCAGTTATCCACAGGAGACTCCTGTTCATGGAACCTCCATCACAGGCACCATGAAGATATTAACACCTTCCCTGACATGTTAAATTCCAGTGGGCTAGAAGACCAATAACTCTAACATATCATAGGGGAAGATGAGTAATGGATCTAGCAAAGTGTCATGGAGGGAAAGAAGGAGAATATGGATGTTAAAGGAGGGGAGGTGTGGTGTATTCTCCTGAGGACTGTAGGAAAGGCTTCACAGGTTATGCTGTGTTTAGAGAACTGCATTCATGTTGTTTAGGGCATCATAAATTAGGTGATGATGAACAGTGGGAGGTCAGATTAGTAAGGCCAGTTGAGGCCATAGTGTGGAGAATATCACATGCAGTTAGTTGTTCAGTAGGCAGCCCTGAAGAGTTTTGAGTTCCAGAGCGAAAATTTTCACTTTTTCACTTCAGGAAAATACATGTGACAGTTGCAAGTGGGATAAAGTATAGTATAGAAGGGTCTGTGGGCTGGGGTTCACATTGGTGGTTATTGTAGAAGATTGAGGTAGACATGATGTCCTGAAATACGATAGTGATGATAGACATGGAAGGAAAAGGACGTGTGAAAGTGCTTTGGTACTAAAAGAAATTGCTGAGTATAATGAGAAAAAAAACCCAAGACTTGAGAGCAGGGAAATGGCAAGATCAAAATTAAATGACTTACCACTTCTCTTGTTCTTTCTTGCATCCATTGATAGGTACTAAGATTCAGAGAAAACAGGGATGGTGAAAATTTAGGAGTTTAGGAAGAGCTGATAGTATTTGTAAGATGACCCTTCTTTTGAGTGGGTGGAAAGAAAGTTGATGATTTGTGGTATGGAGGTGGGGACAAGGAAGGGCATTCTCCCAGGGTACAGTGTGAGAATTAAACTATTCATTTCTTAAAAGGTGATATCACTATATGTACTAGCGGAAATACTACAGAAAATGATTCATTTTTTTTTCTCGGTCTAATACAGACATCCAGGTATTTCTAACTGTAGAGCTCATATCTAGATAAACTAAGTATCAGTATTTCTCAAATTATCTGTGGTGAGGAGCCCTTTCATTAAAAAAAAATTTTCCTCTTATCAATGCTATAAATTCCTATAGAAATAAAATGAATAAAAAACCGACATATACAACTTGGTAGAGGTGCTCATTATCCCTACAGTAGCAATCATAATACAATATATAAATGTATCAAATTAACATGGTACACATCTCAAGTGTAAACAATGTTATATGTCAAATATTTTTCACTAAAAACTGGCATATCAATACAGATCCTAGTTTTAAAATTTTATTCAACAAATGTAAGATAACTCTATCAAACTGATAGAACTGTATCTTTTTTTTAAAGATTTTATTTATTTTGAGAGAGAGGGCATGAGCAGGGGGAGGGGCAGAAGGAGAGAGAATTTCAAGCAGATTCTCCTGCTGAGGGTGGAGCCCACTGCAGGGCTTGATCTCATGACCCTGAGATCATGACCTGAGCTGAAATCAAGAATTGGACCTTCACTGACTGAACCACCCAGGGGCCCCAGTGGAACAATTTCTAAATGTCTGTTCTCAGTTGCTGAGCTTGTCTCATTGTACCGGTAACAAACAGCTCAGATGCTGGCATCGTCACACTGCCCACGCATCAAGAAACTGGTCTGGGTGTTCATTTCCATGATACGATTTCAAAGATTTCAGGAAGGCTCAGAAATTCTCTCTTCTTTCTTTGAAATCCTCCAGTTCTGTTTTGACCATCTCCTGCATATTTGGTGTTTGTATGTGTGTGTGTGTGTGTGTGGGGGGGTACTTAAAAATTTTTATCTTCTATGTGTTTAGACAATTCAGTGAAAATGCACATACCTTTGCAATGGCCTATCTTTTTTGCCACCTTTATATATATCTTCCTGAGAAGTGAACTAATCGACCAAATGGAAAGCAAATCAGTGCCACTACTCTATATAAACCTAAGCCCATGTTGCTTGTTCACCATCCTCTAAATTCTCTTTTGGTCTTTTCCTTCCTAGGCCAATTTCATTTATCAAGGTCTTTCTCCTCCCCCACTTAATGGAATTGTATCCTTCAATGCCGAAATCCAGTCCTGGCTCCTTCAGTAATCTGTCCCTGACCATTGCAGCCCATAGTCACTCCATCCTGCTCTGACATTTTTGGATTCATTGACTGTACTCTCATTTGGTATATTTATAACTTACTGCCCAGTGCCTCTTCTGCCTGGGATATTGTTTTCTCTATTTTAAAATGTTTTATATGTCACTTAAGCATATTTGTCTTACTTTTTTTTTTTTTTTTACATAAATACAGATGGACAGAGAAACAGCATGAAGGATGAAACAAGCACCTTTATAACAACCCCCAGGTAAGAAAAAAAAACCACAGACAGTATCCAAGAAGCCCCCTGTGTGCTTTCCTAAGTGCCTCCTCCTACTTCTATCGTGGGGGTAACAGTTACCCTGACCTTTGCGATGGTTATTCTTTGCTTTTCTGGGATAGCTTTTTCACCTAGGAAAATGTGTACAAATGAATTCCTATCCCACACATGGCACTTAAATATTATGTATATATTTTAAAGTATCTATCTATCTATCTATCTATATATATATATACATATACACACATGCATATATTTCCCTGGTATTATTATATAAATATATATACATAGGTGTGTATGTATGTATATATAGTACAGTTTTGCCTGTTACGAAGTTAATAGAAATGGAATTATGCTGTATGTATTATTTCCTCAACATTATATTTACTATATTTATTCATGTTGATTTGAGTGGCTTGTATCATTCATTTTCAATACTTTATAGAATCTCTTTGCATGAATACATTACAATTCATTACCTGTTACATTGTGGATGGATTTTTTATTGTTTTTAAAGTTTTGTTGTTGTGAACAAGGATTCTGTAGACCCGTGAGCAATTTATCCGGGTACACATGTGATGTATACTGATAATGACCCGATAGTATATACCCAGAGGCAGGATTGCAGAGCACAGACCTGTTCCCTTTACTAGGCAACACCAGACTCTGACCACGTTGGTTGTGCCAATATATTTCTCTTCCAGCGTGTGACAGTTGCCAATGATGCGTGTGCAAGCCATCACTTGATGTCATAGAAATTATTAGTGCCCGCCAGGATTTTCACTTCATTTCTTTCCTGAGGAACAATAAGGCTGATTACACTTCCTCACCTCTCTTAAGGTAGCCCAAATCAAGTGATTTATTTTGCCTTTGCTTTGGACAATAGTATTTAAGTCCTTTTAGGTAGTTTTCCAGACTTCCTTCCCTGCTGCAGCAATTCCGGGCGGCATTGTCATGAAATGGTGAGACTTCTTTTAGCCTCATCCCCAAGTTATTATGTGCACAATCCCGTCAACCTCCCGTGTTGGCCTTAGTTTGTGATTGGGAAATCATCTTTTATTATTTGAAGCCAGAAGATTAGAAAAAAAAAAATACTGCTTAGCCTAGCCCATCCTGGTTTGTTACTTACTGTGTTGTCAGACTTTATAATTTTTGACAGCCTGGTGATTGTGTAATTATATCTCAGGGTTTAATTTGCATTTCCCAGAATATTGTGAGCTGATATTTTTTCATATAATAATGTTTCTTTGGATTTCTTCCTTTGTAAATTGCCTTCAATAACTTTGTTCCTATTTTTCCATTAGCTTGTTTACTTTTTTCTTATTGATTCATAAAATGTCTTTATATGTTACAGATAATGTCCTTTGTCAGTCAGATGCTTTTTTCTCTTTCCCCCTCAGTCTGTGGTGTCTGTTGAAGTATAGAGAATCTTAACTTTGATTCTGATGAATTAATCAATTTTTGCCTTTATGGTCATTCCTTTTTGTCTTGTGTAATGAACCTTTCTCGACCCCCCAATAATGAAGATATTCTCCTCCATTCTCTTCTAAAGTCTTTGGAGTTTTGTCTTTTAAGTTGAAATCTTTTTTTAATTGAATTTTATATATTGTGGGAAGAAAAGATCTATTTTATTCCACAAGGATAACCAATTGTCCCAGCACCATTTATTATATATTCTGTCCTTTCTCTGTATATCTGCATTATACCCTCTGTCGTATAGCCCATCTATGTCCATATTTTATGTCATTCACTCTGTATTGTTCCATTGATCTACTTGTCTGTCCATCAGTTCCACACTGCCTTATTTACTACCGCTTTGTAATATGTCTTGATAGGTAGTAAGATGAGTCTTCCATCTTCGATCTGTTTCTTCAGAATGTTTTGGCTATACTTTACCTTTGTCCTTGCAAACACAGAATCCACCTGTTCAGTTCCAACAGTAAAATCTGTTGGAATTTAGATTGGGGTTACCTTGAACATATATATCAGCTTGAGGAAGGACTGACATTTTTATCATATTTAGTCTCCTAATCCTGGATCCAAGATAGAATTTCCTCCTTTTTAGGCCTTCTTTAGTATCTCTCAATCATGTTTCATAATTTTCTCCATCTAGCGTTTACAAACCATTTTGTGGATCTCTTTCTAGGTACTTCCTATTTTTGATGCTGTTGTAAACATTAGCTTTGAGATTTTGTTTTTCCTTTTTCAGCTATTTGTTTTTGGCGTATAGCTGTTTATTTTCTTGTGGAATAATTTAGTGCCCAGCAATCTTGTTAAACTCTCTTACCAGTGCCAATATTTTATTTATGATTTCTTTTGGATTTGGTATGATTGCTTTTTTTCCTGTCCTTTCCAGATTTTATGCCTTTTCATTTTTTTTAAATGCATCACTATGCTGACTAAATAGAGGTGGTGATAAAAGGTATATGGAACATTCCTGAAAGGAAAGACTTTAAATACAGAAACATTAATTATTTGCTTCAAGATTGTTTTTTATTTAGTTATTTTTTAAAATATACTTATGTCAGGGGAAGGAAATTTCCTTCATTTTATAGTTGACCAGTATATTTTTCATCGTGAGTGTATTTTGAATTTTATTAAATGTTCTCCTAATCTTTATTAAAAAGATCCTATTATTACTTTTCTTTAATTGTGTATGCAGTGATTCATATTAATTTCTGATGTTGAATCAATCTTCAGTTATTATGATAATCCAACTTGGTCATACTTTTTATCTTTTTTATGTTGTATTCAGTTTATTAAGGTGTTCTAGATAATTGTAGCTATGTTTGTGAGTCATATTGGATAAAAACAATTTTTAATTCACATAACCTCCTTGCCAGATATCAAGAAAATTATAGATCTGTTCTTAACTGAGATTGATTTTTTTCTTCCCAAGGAACCTTGAGCAATATCTAGAGAAATTTTTGATTGTCACAATTGGTAGGGGGATGCTATTGATATCTAGTGGATAAAAGTCAGGATGCTGATAAATATTCTCTAAAGCACAGGACAGCATGCCACAACAAAGGATTATCTGGCCAAAAATGCTAGTAGTGCTGAGGTTGAGAAATTCTTTTGTAGCCTTATAAACTTGTATAATATCTCTAAAATTAGAATGACCTGTTCCTTAATGTATGTTAGAGCTCATGAGTGGAGATATCTGGGCTCTGGGTTTTCTTTGTGGGAGTATTTTTGACCTTAGGTTTCTTTAATGTTCATAGAATTAGTCAGATTTTCTAATTCTTTGCGGGGAGGGCTAGCTAGTTTTAGTAAATCATGCTTTCTGATAATGTATTTCATCAATATTTACAGTTTACTGACTAAAGTTGTTCATGATACAACTTACAAACATTTTTAAAATTTATTTTTTTTAAGGATTTTATTTATTTGAGAGGGAGCGAGAGAGAAAGACTACAAGCAGCCCTGCCCCTCCCCCCCCCATCAGGGAGCCCGATGCAGGACTCAATCCCAGGACCCTGGGATCATGACCTGAGCTAAAGGCAGACGCTTAACTGACTGAGCCACCCAGGCGCCAATAACTCATAAACTTATTAATGTCTACAACATCTGCTGTGATCTCTCCTTTTTTTATTTCCTGAATTCATTTGTGTTTTTGTGTTCCCTTTGCCAGTTTCTCTGAGGTTTTCTTGTTTTATAATTTTTTTTTTCAAAGAACCAACTTTGGCTTTGTTGATTCTTCCTGTTGCATATCTGTTTTCCATTTTATTAATTTTGATACTTAACATTTATTTCCTTTCTACTACTACTCTTAGGTTTACTTTGCTGTTTTTCCTTAAGTACTTCATTAAATGTAGCTTTTTCTATTTCTAGTACAAGCATTTAAGGCTATAAATAATCCTGAGATATTGTTATAGTTGCATACTATTAGTATTTGTAAATGTTCTGTACGAACTTGGAAATAATTCTTTGGAATATTCTGTATATCAGTAGGCTAAGTGGGTTAATCATATTGTGAAAATCTTCTAGTATATTCTTAGTTCTGCACTAACCTACTGAGGGATGTGTTATAATTTCTTAGTATGATAATGAATTGTCTTTTTCTTCTTGAAGATGTTATTTTTACCTACACATTTTGAGGCTACATTATTAGTTTCTTATTAAGTTTAAAACTTCTATTGCTTATTGATGAATTTAGACTTTTATTTTTATGAAATAAAATCCGTATCTAGTGAAGCTTTTTGAAAAAAAATATTTTGTCTGATGTTAATATAACTATATTACATTTCTCTTGGTAGGGGAAAGCATCTCATCTTTTTACCATCAGTGTCTATATCATTAGGTTTTATATTTGTTACAAACCTCAAGTTTGGCAAATGCCCTAAGGTAAAAGCAGACTTCAGTACTCCTTTTAATTCTTTGAGATCATGGTTATTTTCTATTCTTTTCTTTTCTTTCATTTATTGCCTAAGAATTCCTTCTTTTTTGTGGTATCTTGGAAGCATTTAAGGAACAGTATGCATTTACATTTAAATGTATAATTTAAGATTTTTGTTGTTTTACTGGCAGGACCAATGCAAGTCTCTAGCCCATTTTATTATCAGTATTTTGCCTTTCCTACTAAAACCAGTTTTCTAAAGAAGTGAGTTTCATGTTTTTAAATATTTATCTATACTGTCTCTTATAATATCTTACATGTAATTGACAGTCAATATACTTTTTAAAATAAATGGACTATTTTTATTTCCTCTCAGTATAGTGAATAAAGTGTGCCTTCAGCAGGAAAATTTTATGACTTGTGGATGACCTATTCTCATCTCTATGATGCCTGAATGACCTCTATACCATTTGTCCCATGTGGTCTTACAACTTCTGCTTCTGTTTGTGATTAACTTCAGTGATTGTAACTCTCTCCTGCTCTGGAGGTATAATTTTATTTTTGGTTAGTTCTGTTTATTGAGAAACTCTACCATATGTTGATTTGAAGAATCTTAGCAAGAAAGATGTGATATACATACCTATCTGCA